CTGGGCCTGAAGGTTGTGGGTTCGAGCCCATCACAAGGCCTTCTCCACCGACTCCCACTGTTGTTGCGTCACTTTGCCTCCGTTGTGAGATCAATAAAGTACATGTTCTTCTTCTTCTTCTTCTTCTTCGAGACGAGATAAATCTAAAGTTAAATCCTTCTCTGACTGAGGCTGAAAGAACTCGCTGGACTCCGAGGGCAGATGCTGAAAGTTTTTCCATTGAGCCGGGCCTGGTTGCCCCTGGCAACCGTGGCCATTGCTCTTGGCGGAGGCATGAATGGGCCGTTGGTTCCCATGCTCCTGGCTCCTCCTCCTCCTCCTCTTCCTCCTCAAACTCAGACCACGTTGAACGGTTCAGCAACAAAGAGCTCATGAAGAGAGCGATTCTGCCAAAGTGAATCTATTCTGTGGCAAAAGGATTAAGTATTCAAGGTGGCGTGTTATTCCTTTGAAGATTTCCCTTACAGGCAGTTATAGTGGGCCACAGTGGGCCATAATGGGCCACAGTGAGCCATAATGGGCCACAGTGTTTGAGGGATTGATGGATAAACAAATGTAACATGTAAATCCAGTGGAACAGGCAAAAGTCCGGTCTCAGCTCTAACTTTATGGAAACTCAAAGTCTCAAGGTAGAATAAGTAAATGTTATTTATGTAGCGCCTTCACAGACCAGTACAGGAGGCCATGCCACACCCACTGTACATGTTGTTAGAGGGGGGGGAAACCGGAGCACCTGGAGGAAACCTACGCAGGCACAATGAGAGCATGCCAAGTCCTCTCAAAAAAGCCCTTTTCTGACTGGGATTTGAATCCAGGACCTTCTTGCTGAGAAGCGAGAATGCTAACCACTCAGCCACTGTGCTGCCCAGAGAGAATAGAGCATGTGGAAGCTATGTTTATTTTTAAATAATAATTTTTAAAAAATATTTAAAAAAACACTTTTATTCATGCTTTTTTTGGACACTCAGACACTTCACCTGCATCATTCATTCTCTCCAAACACTGTGGTGATAAACTACTGTAGCCACAGCTGCCCTGGGGCACACTGACAGAAGCGAGGCAACCAGTCTGTGCCATCGGCCCCTCCCACCCCCACCAACCATTCACACACACACCAGACTCATTCTAATGTGGGGGAAGTGTCTTGCCTAAGGACACAACCACAGTTTGGCCGCCCCACTGTGACACCTGCTGTTCCCAGGTCTCCCATCACAGCACTAACCAGGCCCTGTCCTGCTTAGCTTCAGATGTCAAATCATCCGTCTCAGTGTTCCTTCGCTTGATCTGTTGGTCTCCCATCCTCGCACTGCCCTATCACTCACAGCTTAGTGATAGATCTGAGATGGTCTTTTTGAGGAAAAACACAAAAACCAAAACACATTCTGCACTCGACACCAGCTTTCACAGCACCGCTCGACCATCTGAGACGACCAGAGAGAGAGGGAGGGAGGGAGGGAGGGGGGAGGGAGGGAGGGGGGAGGAGAGAGAGAGGGAGGGAGGGGGGAGGAGAGAGAGAGCTTTCACAGCACCGCTCGACCATCTGAGACGACCAGAGAGAGAGGGAGGGAGGGAGGGAGGGAGGGAGGGAGGGAGGGGGGAGGAGAGAGAGAGAGGGAGGGAGGGGGGAGGAGAGAGAGGGAGGGGAGGAGAGAGAGAGCTTTCACAGCACCGCTCGACCATCTGAGACGACCAGAGAGAGAGGGGAGGGAGGGGGGAGAGGGAGGGAGGGGGGAGGAGAGAGGGAGGGAGGGAGGAGAGAGAGAGAGGGAGGGAGGGGGAGAGGCAGGGAGGGAGAGAGAGGGAGGGAGGGGGGAGGAGAGAGAGAGGGGAGACTGAGGGGGGAGTGAGAGGAGAGGAGAGGGGGAATGAGAGAGGAGCAAAGTGCTGTGGACTGAGGCAGAAACAATGACAGTTAATGAGGGGAGAGAAAAAGGGGGAGGGAGGGAGACTCCGGGGGACCCCAGACAAAAGCCATAGTTTTTACACAGTGACCCTCGGAAAGAATGTGGAGGAAGGGGGGGGGGGGGGGGGGGGGACAGAGGGGAGAGACACAGGGGGGGGGACAGAGGGGAGAGACAGAGGGGGGGGGGACAGAGGGGAGAGACAGAGGGGGGGGGGACAGAGGGGAGAGACACAGGGGGGGGGACAGAGGGGAGAGACACAGGGGGGGGGGACAGAGGGGAGAGACACAGGGGGGGGGGGACAGAGGGGAGAGACACAGGGGGGGGGACACAGGGGAGAGACACAGGGGGGGGGACACAGGGGGGGGACACAGGGGAGAGACACAGGGGGGGGGGGACACAGGAGAGAGACACAGGGGGGGGGGGACAGAGGGGAGAGACACAGGGGGGGGGGACAGAGGGGAGAGACACAGGGGGGGGACACAGGGGGGGGGGACAGAGGGGAGAGACACAGGGGGGTATTTTCACAAGTGAAATATGGATCCGTTTTCTTGGGCACACAAGCCTCCTCCCGGTTCCACCCCCTCCCTCACTGTTACAGATCAGGGCCCTTTAACAATGACAGGTTAGGGCCCTTTAACAATGACAGGTTAGGGCCCTTTAACAATGACAGGTTAGGGCCCTTTAACAATGACAGGTTAGGGCCCTTTAACAATGACAGATTCGGGCCCTTTAACAATGACAGATTCGGGCCCTTTAACAATGACAGATTCGGGCCCTTAAACAATGACAGATTCGGGCCCTTAAACAATGACAGATTCGGGCCCTTAAACAATGACAGATTCGGGCCCTTAAACAATGACAGATTCGGGCCCTTAAACAGTGACAGATTCGGGCCCTTAAACAGTGACAGATTCGGGCCCTTTAACAGTGACAGATTAGGGCCCTTTAACAGTGACAGATTAGGGCCCTTTAACAATGACAGATTAGGGCTCTTTAACAGTGACAGATTAGGGCCCTTTCACAATGACAGATTAGGGCCCTTTAACAATGACAGATTAGGGCCCTTTAACAGTGACAGATTAGGGCCCTTTAACAGTGACAGATTAGGGCTCTTTAACAGTGACAGATTAGGGCCCTTTAACAGTGACAGATTAGGGCCCTTTAACAGTGACAGATTAGGGCCCTTTAACAATGACAGATTAGGGCCCTTTAACAATGACAGATTAGGGCCCTTTAACAATGACAGATTAGGGCCCTTTAACAATGACAGATTAGGGCCCTTTAACAGTGACAGATTAGGGCCCTTTAACAGTGACAGATTAGGGCCCTTTCACAATGACAGATTACGGCCCTTTAACAATGACAGATTAGGGCCCTTTAACAGTGACAGATTAGGGCCCTTTAACAGTGACAGATTAGGGCCCTTTCACAATGACAGATTAGGGCCCTTTAACAATGACAGATTAGGGCCCTTTAACAGTGACAGATTAGGGCCCTTTAACAGTGACAGATTAGGGCTCTTTAACAGTGACAGATTAGGGCCCTTTAACAGTGACAGATTAGGGCCCTTTAACAGTGACAGATTAGGGCCCTTTAACAGTGACAGATTAGGGCCCTTTAACAATGACAGATTAGGGCCCTTTAACAGTGACAGATTAGGGCCCTTTAACAGTGACAGATTAGGGCCCTTTAACAATGACAGATTAGGGCCCTTTAACGATGACAGATTAGGGCCCTTTAACAATGACAGATTAGGGCCCTTTAACAATGACAGATTAGGGCCCTTTAACAATGACAGATTAGGGCCCTTTAACAGTGACAGATTAGGGCCCTTTAACAGTGACAGATTAGGGCCCTTTCACAATGACAGATTACGGCCCTTTAACAATGACAGATTAGGGCCCTTTAACAGTGACAGATTAGGGCCCTTTAACAGTGACAGATTAGGGCCCTTTCACAATGACAGATTACGGCCCTTTAACAGTGACAGATTAGGGCCCTTTAACAGTGACAGATTAGGGCCCTTTAACAGTGACAGATTAGGGCCCTTTAACAGTGACAGATTAGGGCCCTTTCACGATGACAGATTTCTACTTTAACATAAGAACATGTGACATTTCCTTCATCTGTGCAGGATTAAGACTAAAGCTTCCATTGTTCTAAAGTCAAAACGTTCAAATTTGGTCAATAAAAAACTACAAAAATAACAAAAACTCATATTCCACAAATACCAGACTCCAGCGGGATCAGACTCCAGCGGGATCAGACTCCAGCGGGATCAGACTCCAGCGGGACCAGACTCCAGCGGGACCAGACTCCAGCGGGATCAGAGTCGACAACTTCTGAGGACTTCATCTGTGGAGCCTCTCCCTGCACCTCCTGTGGCACTGCGGGAACTAGTGCATCACCCTCCTCCCTCATCCCTCTTTCCTCCCCCTTTCCTCCCCCTTTCCTCCCTCTTTCCTCCCTCTTTCCCCCTCCTCCATCCCCCCCCCCCCCCCAGACAGTCTCTCTCTCTCTCTCTCTGGTCTCTCTCTCTCTCTGGTCTCTCTCTCTCTCTGGTCTCTCTCTCTCTCTCTGGTCTCTCTCTCTCTCTCTGGTCTCTCTCTCTCTCTCTCTCTGGGGTCTCTCTCTCTGGTCTCTCTCACTATCCCTCCAGGCCTCTCTCTCTCTCTCTCTCTCCCTCTGCCCTCTCCCTCTGCCTCAGAATTGGGGAAACACCCTCAAAAACAAAGGGTTGCCAGTTTTTCCAAGTTCAAGTCCCATACACAGAAACCCCGTCTGGCTGACTTTTGACGCCAGATTGAGACACAGACAAACCTACAGGAGAAGAAGCAGAGAGTGTGAGGGATTCTGGGTCATGGCAGATTCATCCATGGTCCAGATCTTTCTCCTTCGGCCAAAAAGTGAGAGATTCTCAACAACAACCTCCTGCAGTTTCATAAATAACCATCGTTATTTTTACCCCAAAAATCTAGGTTTTTGTCTCTATCTCAGTAGAAAATGGGTTTGATTCTGGCATTTTGTTATTCTCCCGTTTTCACATTGACACAAAACGTCAAAAAAACTGTTAATTGTGATTGAAACCGCATTTTATTTCACTGCAGCGCCATCAATCTACTGTATCCAAGTCTTGGAGAGGGAAGAGAAGCTTGGAAGAAGAAGAGGAGGGGGGAGGGAGGGAGGGAGGGGAGACGCAGTGGAGATGGGGGGGGGGGGGGCGGGGCTTTCATCACATATGGGAAAAGAACGGTGAAAGGGGACAGAAGGAGAAGAAAGAAAGAATACAGAGAGAGACGAGCCAAAAAAAAAAATAACTGTTGCCAGTGAACAAAGCGAGCAAACCTGGCAACACACCCTCCATCTCTCGCCAACCTCTCTCCTCCTCCATCCTCTTCCACCACCTCCTCTCTACCTCCTCCTTACCCAAACCCTGCCACCATCACCACAGCAGCAGCAGAGGAGAGGAGGAGAGAGGAGGAGAGGAGGAGAGGAGGAGAGGGGAGGGGAGAGAGGGGAAAGGGTGTGGCAAAAAACGGAATCGGATATTGAAACCCCACTTCAAACCCTCTCGAGCTCCTTTCAAGCTGCCATTATTAAAGAGAAGAGAGAGAGAGAGAGAGAGGGAGAGTACACCCGGGTATTTCCTCAGATGTAGTAATTCCACACTCTCTGACAGGCCACGTACATGACATTCTGAGTGTTATAAAAAAACAGAAATTCAGATTATGGTAGATGTCTTTTCTCCATCCACAATCCTTCGGTCTCCAAAACCACAGCAGACAAAAGCTTTGTCCCACTTTGCAGAAAACAAGCCACAGAATTACACATCACTAGTTCTGCGTGATTTTGTTTTTTTTAACCCAAAACAAATCCAACAAAATGATGGAAAAGCCACAGAAGAAGAAGAAGCCGTTTCCAGGACGCTCCCTGCAGCGGACCAGGACTGGGATGCACTGGTGCGTAATGAGGGGGTTGTTATTTACCTGACAGCCCAAAAATCGGGTTTAATCTCAATTGACACCGTTCCTTTTCCATGATATTTACAGTCTATGGTCCAGGCTTCAACAAAATAACTACAACTGCTTCAAACTCACAGCAGGAGAAGGCAAAAGGCAAAGGACAACACGCTGCTGATCAACCTCACCACAGAAAAAACCTGATTTCAAAACTTTTGAGACGTTTTCTTGGTCTGGTTTTGTGGTGTTGCCTTTTGAAGACACGTCCCAAAAGACAGACTTTAGATTAATACCTTCTCTGCAACTGTGCACATACGGACAAGATCTCGTTACGTAACAATCGCGCTGCTTTGATGCTGTTTCTGCAGCAATAAGTTGGCAAAGATTTGGTTAAATTGACTCAAAAACAGAAAAACACACACAGTAAAGGCATGCATGTGGTTGAATGGATGCATGACGTCCTTTTACGCGCGAGAAAAGAGCGAGGTTTGACAAAGTAAGTCCTTTTTTGTCTGTGCGTAAATGTTGGAGCGACTTTTACGCACGGAATAACGGACTCACGTAGGAACAGGTGCGACACACAAAGACACACAAACACACACACACAATCGCAACACGTTTCTTTGAGTACTCACTCCTCTTCCCATGGCTGCTGCTGCTGCGCTCTTCCCGCTTCACGTCAAAATCCAAAATGAAAACAATTCCACTTCACAAACCCCTTACCTACTGCGGACACACATATGCACTCCGCTGTGTGTGTGTGTTTGATGGTATTTTGTGTGTTGTGTTGTGTGTGTTGTTTGAGAGTACGAGTCGCAGCTGCAGGACCACGCGTTTTTATACGGTGCGGTGACGTCACGGGCGTTGTTATGGTAACGCCACGATCAGGGGGCGGGGTCTCAGCACCAGTGGGATTGAGATGGTTTCGTGTGTTTAACTATGATTGTTATTCTCTCTGCGCCTGGAACCGGGTCAGCGCCGCGGACTGTGGCACCAGAGACTTCCACCTGTTGCTGGTTTTGGCAAAACCAGTAACTGAAAGTCTAGTCTCTCTCTAGTCTCTCTCTGGTCTCTCTCTAGTCTCTCTCTGGTCTCTCTCTGGTCTCTCTCTGCTCTGTCTCTGCTCTCTCTCTGGTCTCTCTCTGGTCTCTCTCTGCTCTGTCTCTGCTCTCTCTCTGTTCTCTCTCTCTGGTCTCTCTCTGCTCTGTCTCTGCTCTCTCTCTGTTCTCTCTCTCTGGTCTCTCTCTGCTCTGTCTCTGCTCTCTCTCTGTTCTCTCTCTCTGGTCTCTCTCTGCTCTGTCTCTGCTCTCTCTCTGGTCTCTCTCTGGTCTCTCTCTGGTCTCTCTCTGGTCTCTCTCTGGTCTCTCTGGTCTCTCTCTGGCCTCTCTCTGCTCTCTCTCTGCTCTCTCTCTGCTCTCTCTCTGGTCTCTCTCTGGTCTCTCTGGTCTCTCTGGTCTCTCTCTGGTCTCTCTCTGGTCTCTCTCTGGTCTCTCTCTGGTCCGTCCTGGTTCTAATTCTCTCTTTCTCACAGTTTTGGGGGGCCCCCGGGATCTGCTCTGAATGCTAATGTTGGGCCCCGGCTTTGTGTCTTCTCTCATAACTCTGTCCCTCAGAGAACAGCGAGGCCACAGAATACTGACCAGGACGAGCCAGAGGGGACCAGAGTGAGACCACAGACCTCCCAGGACCACGGTGATGGGTGTCTTTGATTTGGAGGAAGAGAAAAGAGAGACCAGAGAGAGACCAGAGTGAGACCAGAGAGAGAGACCAGAGACCAGAGTGAGACCAGAGAGAGACCAGAGTGAGACCAGAGAGAGACCAGAGAGAGAGACTATGAGAGACTAGAGAGAGACCTCTTTCTCTCTCGTCTCCCATAACTGTGTGTGTGTGTGTGTGTGTGTGTGTGTGTGTGTGTGTGTGTGCGTGTGTGCGTGTGTGTGTGTGTGTGTGTGACCACAGGAGGCACAATCATTGGCTCAAAGTCTCCCGCCTCGTTTTCTCCATACAACAACTAAATACAATCTGAGTTATTTATAGTTATTTATAGACCACTCACTCCACCGACACACACGTGCAAACACACACACACACACGTGCAGACACACACACACACACTGAGAATCCTTCTACTGTTGCAGATATAGGATCTTCAGGTCTTCACTGCGAGGGAACGATGGAGCATGCATGAGACTGACACACGCACCGACACAGACACACACAGACACACACACACAGACACACAGACACAGACACACACACACACACAGACACACACACACAGTTAGTCTTATTGTTTGTGTTGTGTACTCCTCATTCTACTGCTCTGTAACCGCTGATGCAACACTGACATTTCCACAACAATTCTGTGACTTTTGGAGAGGCATAAAGAAGAGTGAGTTACTGGGACAGCTCCATCTAGTGGTCAGAGTGGAAAGAACCATTTATTATCAATATTAGCAGTAATAATGTATCACTTTTATATAGCACTTTTTTGGACACTCAAAGACACTTCACAGATTATTCTCTCTCTCCAAACACGGTCATAAACTACTACTGTGGCCACAGCTGCCCTGGGGCACATTGACAGAAGCGAGGCAACCAACCACCAACCATTCACACACACACCAGACTCATTCTAATGTGGGGGTGTCTTGCCTAAGGACACAACCACAGTTTGGCACATTACAGCCGCAGCCGCCCCACTGTGGCACCTGCTGTTCTTACAGGTCTCCCATCACAGCACTAACCAGGCCCCGCCCTGCTGAACTTGAGAGGTCTGACATGATCTAAAGCCACACAGATGTATTTAACTGTCTTTGAGAAAGGGATCCTCACACATAGACATTGGATGTGTGTGTAAGATACATAAACTTTATTGATCATTGTAGGAGAAATGCAGGTGTCCAGCAGAAGACTCATCCAGGTTTGTTGTACAGTCTGACAGCTGAAGGAACAAATGATCTCTTGAAACTTTCCGTTCGGCAGCGTAGTGACAGGAGCCTGTTGCTTCGACTACTCTGAGCGGCCAGTGTCATGCAGAGGGTGTGTGTGTGTGTGTGTGTGTGTGTGTGTGTGTGTGTGTGTGTGTGTGTGTTCTCAGTTGAAGTGTTTACTGTAGTGTGCGGTCGCTCACTACTGATGATCTGTGCAAGCGCCACTGCAATAACTTTGTAGAGGAGATCATTGAGCTACCATTACACTGTTAGCATCATTAGCATAATTAGCTGTGTTAGCATCATTAGCACTGTTAGCATCATTAGCATAATTAGCTGTGTTAGCATCATTAGCACTGTTAGCATCATTAGCATAATTAGCTGTGTTAGCATCATTAGCACTGTTAGCATCATTAGCATAATTAGCTGTGTTAGCATCATTAGCACTGTTAGCATCATTAGCATAATTAGCTGTGTTAGCATCATTAGCACTGTTAGCATCATTAGCATAATTAGCTGTGTTAGCATCATTAGCACTGTTAGCATCATTAGCATAATTAGCTGTGTTAGCATCATTAGCACTGTTAGCATCATTAGCATAATTAGCTGTGTTAGCATCATTAGCACTGTTAGCATCATTAGCTGTGTTAGTCAATGCCAGATACGTTTTATACCAAATCCCATTGTTCAATCATTTTAGGTCTACAATAACAATTTATTGAAATCAAAATGTAAAAAAATATCTCTGGTCTCCCTCTCTGGTCTCCCTCTCTGGTCTCCCTCTCTGGTCTCCCTCTCTGGTCTCCCTCTCTGGTCTCCCTCTCTGGTCTCCCTCTCTGGTCTCCCTCTCTGGTCTCCCTCTCTGGTCTCCCTCTCTGGTCTCCCTCTCTGGTCTCCCTCTCTGGTCTCCCTCTCTGGTCTCCCTCTCTGGTCTCCCTCTCTGGTCTCCCTCTCTGGTCTCCCTCTCTGGTCTCCCTGAACCCACAGACTGTGCAGTAACTGACGCCGTGAACGATGGAGGCACATGTTTTATTGAGAACGACACTCAGGCAGAAATGTTGAGATTGTCTTTTTAAATTATTTGGCGTTTTCTGAGTTTTGGTTCAGGACACAGATGTAACATGGTGCTCAGTAATACGTCTCCTGCTCCACCCATCCTGCGAACACACAACAACACACAACATGAGCCATCTGGGACAGTCTTCCTGAAAACAACACACATAAGCACAAACCAGAATCATTCTTTTTATTGTCATTGGAAGTAACAATTTGCTGTAAAATGGTAAATGCTTTAAAATGACGATAAACAAGAGCACCAAGTACCCACTGTAGACCAGGCGTGTCAAACCCAGGCAATATTTAGTGGCCCCTGAAATGTTACACTTCATTTTAAAGCCTTTTGTCTCAGGAAAACCACCGTATCATTGAATCTGTTCTAAAATGTGAGCCAACATATAAATAGAAGTAGGTAAGTAATGTTTATTTATATAGCGCCTTTCTCAAACCAGAGTCAAAGTGGTTTATAAGTGTGGGCATTAGTCTGTCACTCAACACAGAGATGGGAGGGGCCAGGACAGGAAGCACAGACCTATTGTACATGTTGTCAGTGGTAGAGGAAACTGGAGCACCTGGAGGAAACCTAAGCAGACATGGGGAGAATATGCAAACTCCACTCAGAAAGACCCTGTTCCGACCGGGATTCGAGAGTGCTAACCACTCAGCCACCGTGCCGTGGGGGGGGGGGTCTCTCACGGCGCCATAACGAGCGTGGCGGCGGCGACTGGGAGCAGGGGTTCAGGTGGGTGGGGGCTGACGTGAGGCGAGTGGACAGGGTCAGCGGTGGTCAGCTGGAGACGCTCTAAATATAGATCCCGAAGACCCCTTTGCTCAGACCTCGCCGGGGTTTTACCGAAACACGGCTGTTGCCCGGGTTACTGCGCCACTTTTGGTTATCTGCTGCGTTTCTACTTTCTTACTTTGCTCCTGGAAATGTAGATTTTACGTTTTGAGGTTTAAAAAGCTGTCGAAATAGTTTAAGCTAGGCCTGTCTAAGCTATGGCAGATCGTAAACACATGTCCACGGTGTCATCCAGCCAGCTCCAGCTCTGCCAACACGTGCTTTTTACACCTCTTTGCATTGATCAGAACCTGTAGAATCCAGTCGAGTTTATTGGTTTGTGGTTGTGTCGCTAAGAAAGCAGTGGTGAGGTAGGGAAATGTGAATCAAAATGGACTTCTTGACCGTTGTAGAGCAAAAAACCGACCAAATCCAGTCAAAACCGGTTTAAAACCTGTGGCCGTCTTACTAAAAAGTTTGGACACCCCTGGTTTAAGGAGTCTAGAGAGAGCGTTAAGGCCTCACACTCCGGCTACTCTGTGCTACTTTGTCGTGCTTTGATCCCTGAGGCTTATACAGGGATGAGGCCAATGTATGTGCTGGTGTTGTCTTAGCGCCCCCTAGTGGCTGCACTGCAGAACTTACCGCCTGGGTTGCGTCGGAGGATATATCTCCTGGCTTCATCGTATAAGAAGATAAGGAGGGAGTAGGGGAAGGCACAGAACCACCAACTGGGCCTGAAACAAAACAAGATATATTATTACTCAAGTTTTTTAGCACTTTTCCATGTTCCACTGAAGCTCGGCCCGGGTAGAACCAGGACCAAGAGGGACAAAAGAAGGGGCTGGTGCCAACGCTCCCAATCAGAGTAGAGTAGAGTAGAGTAGAGTAGAGTAGAGTAGAGTAGAGTAGAGTAGAGTAGAGTAGGGTAGGGTAGAGTAGAGTAGGGTAGGTAGGGTAGGGTATGGTAGAGTAGAGTAGAGTAGGGTAGGGTAGGTAGGGTAGGGTATGGTAGAGTAGAGTAGAGTAGGGTAGGGTAGGTAGGGTAGGGTATGGTAGAGTAGGGTAGGGTAGAGTAGAGTAGAGTAGAGTAGAGTAGAGTAGAGTAGAGTAGAGTAGGGTAGGGTAGGGTAGAGTAGAGTAGAGTAGGGTAGGGTAGGGTAGGGTACAGTAGAGTAGGGTAGGGTAGAGTAGGGTCGAGAAGCGCTGGTGGAAACGGGGCTACTCTCATCAGAAACAGACCTGCATTTGCTTTTAGCTCAAATAAAAGGCCAAGATTAGAAACTTCTGCCAAAAACAAATCTTAACTCAAGATAAAAAAATAATCAAATTACCTCATTAACATATTTTAGATAAACAACAACAACGGTGACCTCATTATAAAAGCGTCCGGCCCCAAACTGAGGTGAGCGTACAGAGGACCAGTGCAGCTCCACTACTCTCTGTTGTGCCTGAGGTATTAATGCATAAAAGCAGCCCGAGGAGATGAGAGAGGATATAAATAGCTCAGAGAGGTGAGTGGCTATGCTAATGAGGCTAGGTAACAAACGCTAATGAGGTTTAGCAAACGCTCTCCACTCATTGGGAGAAAAACAGCCACATAATGAAGTATATCTGCTTTTCTGTCTAATTATAGCGCATGAAAGAGCACAGATGAATCCTACACCACTGTAAATACAAGGATGAAGCTAGCGTAGCGCTGTCTGGCTAATACTGCTGCATTAGCGCAAACAGGATGTTACGGAGGGAATGTTATTAGCACAACACAAACACAAGTGGAATTAGAGAAACTGGAGAAAATCCAGGAGTACCCGGAGGAAACATACGCAGACACGGGGAGAACATGCAAACTCCACTCAGAAAGGCCCTGGTCCGGCCGGGATTCGAACCCAGGACCTTCTTGCTGAGAGGCGAGAGTGCTATCCACTCAGCCACCGTGCCGCCCAGATGGAGCGGGTGTGGGGTCTGGGAGGGTGTTATCGGGGACTACTGTACACGTTTTAGGGTTAGGGGATCCCGGAGCACTTGGAGCAAACCTACGCAGACACTGGGAGAACATGCAAAATCCACACAGAAAGTTCTGCAAGTGGGACCAAACCTGGGACCTTCTTTCTGCCCAGACTGCTGTCATGATTGTGTTTGAATTTGCATTGCATAAATAATAAACCAATATATAGTGATATGAAACGGGATGGTTTCCATGGTAACGGAGGAGTAAACATAAGTTCTTGACAGCTGCGGTTTCTCTATTCGCCGAACACTGATAATGAATTTATATCAATCTATGAAACAAATCCAACCGGCTTCACGCATGTGTGGACTGTAATTAACTTGATTAAGTTGTCAGTCGCCTGTAGTGTGTGGTCAAGAACATGTGTTTCTGACTCCGTAACCGTGGAAACGATCACAGCGCTAAAATAACCCACAAGTGAAATAGAGAGAAAGAGAGACCAGAAAGAGACCCGAGAGAAAGACCAGAGAGGGACTGAAGAGAAGCCAGAGAGAGACTAGAGAGAAACCAGAGCGAGAGAGACTAGCAAGTGAGACAAGAGAGGGGCCGCAGGGACCAGAGAGAGAGAGACCAGAGAGAGAGAGACCAGAGAGAGAGAGACCAGAGAGGGGCCGCAGAGACCAGAGAGAGAGAGACCAGAGCGAGAGAGACTAGCAAGTGAGACAAGAGAGGGGCCGCAGGAACCAGAGAGAGAGAGACTAGCAAGTGAGACAAGAGAGGGGCCGCAGGGACCAGAGAGAGAGAGACCAGAGAGAGAGAGACCAGAGAGAGAGACCAGAGAGAGAGACCAGAGAGAGACCAGAGAGAGACCAGAGAGAGAGACCAGAGAGAGAGACCAGAGAGGGGCCGCAGAGACCAGAGAGAGAGAGACCAGAGAGAGAGACCAGAGAGAGAGAGACCAGAGAGAGAGAGACCAGAGCGGGGCCGCAGAGACCAGAGAGAGAGAGACCAGAGCGAGAGAGACTAGCAAGTGAGACAAGAGAGGGGCCGCAGGAACCAGAGAGAGAGAGACCAGAGAGAGAGAGACCAGAGAGAGAGACCAGAGAGGGGCCGCAGAGACCAGAGAGAGAGAGACCAGAGAGAGAGAGACTAGAGAGAGAGAGACCAGAGAGGGGCCGCAGAGACCAGAGAGAGAGAGACCAGAGAGAGAGAGACTAGAGAGAGAGAGACCAGAGAGAGAGACCAGAGAGAGAGAGACCAGAGAGAGAGAGACCAGAGCGAGAGAGACCAGAGCGAGAGAGACTAGCAAGTGAGACAAGAGAGGGGCCGCAGAGACCAGAGAGAGAGAGACCAGAGAGAGAGAGAGAACAGAGAAAGAGATTAGAGAGATCAGAAAGAGAGAGACCAGAGAAAAACGCGAATGACATGAAGGTTTAAAGGTGATAAAGCTAGCATCAGTGTGAAGTTAGCATGCTGCTCTTGGTTTAGCGTTACCGTGGCGACAGGTGCGTTGTGACTCACTTGAGAGGGTACATTCTGAGCGCCACGTCCATCCCGGGGCAGTAAGACAGGAATGCGGCCAGAGCGGTCTCCTCGAACAGCCCGAAGATCAGGATTCGGTTTCTGCAAGTGGGCGAGCACAGAGATCAGGGCGGTAATGGAAGTGTGACAGTACTCTTACTACAGTCTGACAGTGCTCGTACTTCATCCCCTGCTGCAGGATGGAGTTCCTCCTGGTCTTACAGATGATGAGGTCGGCCCACTGCACCACCACGATGCTGGCGAAGAAGGCCGTGTGGCAGGTGAACTCTACGATCTTTCTGCGTTCGTACGTCTGACCACAGGGAGAGCTCAGTTACAGCCGGAAATAACAACAACAATAATAATCTACATCACTTCAATCTTTTTCAAAAACTTATCAACTTTCCCTCGGTACAGAACCTGCTGGACTTTTTTTGTTTTTTTGTTTTTGGTGGTGATGATCCAGGACACTCAACATTCAACTACATTTATGAACCAATGTGTTTTTTATTGTCTGATATGTATTTTATTTGAACCGGGACAGAGTGAGATCAAACATTAACACACACAGGGAGAGATGCATTGCACCAGGTTATAGCAGTTATAGCACAGATGCTAAATTCCACCTGTAGTCGTATGATGGTGAATTCGACGGTTTCATAAAGTCCTCCGAGATAACAACATATGTATAAACCCGAAAGTCATGGCTATGGTTTTTTCTTCGGTTTTGTAACTTCTAACCCTTGGGGCTTCCTTAGTTGAACTTCCTGTTGTCTGATTCTAGTTCAGGTGCATTCTCTGGCTATCATCTATCCAAGTGTAAGTTTGCGGCCATGTCTTTCGACGGCCCTTCCCCCAAGGGTCCACTCACCCACTGCTGCCCATAGCTGTCCTCCAGGTCATTGACGAACTTGTCGTCCCAGTAAACTCTGATCCCCAGCAGGTCCATGGGCAGGAAGCCGTTTTCAGCCAGGATCACAAAGTAGGTGAAGAACCCAGCGGTGGCCTGCATCATTCCTGGACACAAGGGGGAGATTTGGTGATTTTTGGTTGCTACATCTAAGCCCTCTCTAAAAGGGCTTTAAATAAGTCCTAATTATGACTGAAACATAGAGCGTGTATTAGGAGTGGACTGACTGAGTGTGACATCACCGTAGTCTTAGCTTTTAATGCAGGAGAAGCCGATTTGAGCATAAGCTAGCTGGAGCCAATTTTCTTATGTGGACATTTTATACGAGGCCGTTAGCTTTACGCCGTAGCAGGAGCATACACGTTGCTAACACGAAGCTGGAGTTTAAGCAAAGAATGAAGGCATCTGATTGGTCAATCCTGGGAGAGAGAGCACTTCCCTATTGGCTTTGTTGAGCTAGTGGGTTAGCATTGTCCATCTGTGTACACACTGTGAATGTGGCAGATGTAGGACAAACTAAAGCACACTTAAAAACTTATAAAATAGAGTATATGGTGAAACTCTTCCATCTAGTGGCAGTAAAGTGGTATTACATTAAGGCCTTTTATCAAACTCCAATATGGCGTGACGTAATGGAAGGCAGGCAGAACACGTTGTTGTATTCAGGATTCTTCCAATCTCTGTTTTTCATGTCTTTTTAACCAAGCAGACCATGTTTTCTCACCCAGAAGCAGGCGAGTCCTTACCGATCTGTCCGTAGGCTATACTGATGAGCCGCTCGTTCACCAGTTTGTCTGTTTTGGGGTTTCGGGGCTGTCTCTTCATGATGTCGCTCTCGGCTGCTTCGTACGCCAGGGAGATGGCGGGAACCTGGAAGTAGAGTCAGATCACAGCACTTTTAGCCAGAATTCGAACAGAGAGAGAGAGGACTGGACTTTGTGCCTCCTCACCATGTCTGTGCCCAGGTCGATGCAGAGGATGGTGACTGTGCCAAGGGGCAGCGGGATGTCGGCGATGATGAAGAGGAGGAAGGGCGAGATCTCTGGGATGTTGCTGGTCAGGGTGTAGGCGATGGACTTCTTCAGGTTGTCAAAGATCAGACGGCCTTCTTCCACTCCGGTCACGATGGAGGCAAAGTTATCGTCCAGCAGGATCATGTCGGCGGCCTGTTTGGACACGTCTGAGCCGGCGATCCCCATGGCAACGCCGATGTCCGCCTTCTTCAGGGCGGGGGAGTCGTTCACGCCGTCACCTGTCACCGCCACAATGGCGCCCTACAGGGAAGGACAGGACTCAGTAAGACGTTTCTTTATGCTGAGAAAAAAAATAAACAAATCAAGGTTTCTTCCGCTTTATCTGTGGCTGGGGAGTTAGGGCAGTCTGTACAGACGCCCAGACTTCTCTCTCCCGAGACCCTTCTCCAGCTTATCTGGGTGAATCCTGAGACGTTCCCAGATCAGCTGAGAGACATAGTCCCTCCAGCGTGTCCTGGGTCTTCCTCTGGTTTACCCGTGGATTAGCAGTGGCTCTATTCCGAGCTCCTCCCGAGTGACTGAGCTCGCCCAATCTCTAAGGGAGCGTCCTGACCCTCTGCAGAGGACACTCATGTGGGCCGTTGGCATCCGCAATCTCATCCTTTCAGTCATTACCTAAAACTCATGACCAGAGGTGAGGGAGTGGGCGTAGAGCTTTGACTGCAGACGCTGCTCCCTCTTCCCCACAACAGTCTGAGAAGCAAAAGTCTAAATCCTAAGAGCAATCTAACTGTGATTCTTTACATGTTGATAATATCTTGGCTTTAAGCTGTAGGCAGAGAGTGAAAACATTAATCTCATGCACAACAGACCAGGAAATGCTATTTAAAGAAAATGAATAAATGTAGCCCAGATTGTTTCATGTCTGACACACGGAGCGGCAATGGATGCTGTTGCCACGGTGACTGCACTCTGCTAACTGCTGACCTGGCGCTGGCATCCTTCCACAATGATGAGCTTCTGCTGTGGCGAGGTCCTGGCAAACACGATCTCAGTGTGGTATTTCAGGATGTCGTCCAGTTGCTCTGCGGTCATGTCTTTGAGTTCACCTCCGTGCACCACGCAGGCCTTGGCATCCCTGCGGAGAACAAGACCAACGCTGGGGTTTGTCCCGGTTTGGTCTGAATCTGACCTTCTCTTGGTCTGGAGAAAGAGACCAAAGAGAGAAAGACCAGAAAGAGACTAGAGAGAGACTAGAAAGAGACCAGAGAGAGACCAGAGAGAGAGACCAGAGAGAGACCAGAGAGAGACCAGAGAGAGACCAGAGAGAGAGACCAGAGAGAGACCAGAGAGAGAGACCAGAGAGAGACCAGAGAGAGAGACCAGAGAGAGACCAGAGAGAGACCAGAGAGAGACCAGAGAGAGAGACCAGAGAGAGACCAGAGAGAGAGACCAGAGAGAGACCAGAGAGAGACCAGAGAGAGAGACCAGAGAGAGACCAGAGAGAGAATAGAAAGAGACCAGAGAGAGACCAGAGAGAGACCAGAGAGAGACCAGAGAGAGAGAGACCAAAGAGAGATGAGAGAGAGACAGAGACCAGGGAGAGACCAGAGAGAGAGACTTGAGAGTGACCATAGAGAGACCACAGAGAGACCAAAGAGAGACCAGAGAGAGACCAGAGAGAGACCACAGAGAGACCACAGAGAGACCACAGAGAGACCACAGAGAGACCAGAGAGAGACCACAGAGAGACCAGAGAGAGACCAGAGAGAGAGACCTGAGAGTGACCATAGAGAGACCAGAGAGAGACCAGAGAGAGAGACCTGAGAGTGACCATAGAGAGACCACAGAGAGACCAGAGAGAGACCAGAGAGAGAGACCTGAGAGTGACCATAGAGAGACCACAGAGAGAGACCAGAGAGAGAACCTCATTCACAACTACCACCAGACTCAGAGCTGTCATAGATGTTAAAGAGCAACACACGCTACTGGGAACTAGGGGATGGAGACTTATGATCAGGTTCAGAAGAGATGTTTCTAACCTCATTATCATTTAAACAGAGATAAAGAAATGTTGTGGTGAATGTGTAAACTTCAAACACAACTGTATATGTTCTGCATGATTATGAAAAGAGCATCCACATATTAGCATTTGGATGTACACAAACCCTGAGTGTGCTTCCCTTTCCCCCTCCCAAAAAGTGAAGCCTAAGTGAAACAGCGCCCTCTGGTGGCTGAAAGGACCATCTCCCCAGATGCTTGTGGCAGCCAACCCCGGTCTCTCCCAAGGCCAAAGCTCTGGGGCCCAGGCCAGGCTGTTCTCAGACTGTCCACTCAGTACTTTTGCTGATAAGGGGCCGAGAAGCAGCCGTCCGTGTAGATCTATTTCTCTGCAGTAAATAAAAGCCCTTTGGCCCAGTGGGGAAAAGCTGCGTTAGCCAAACTCTAATGAGATTAAACTTCTTGTGCTTTAACAATCTCAATATGAGTCGTGCTTCGTATTTGGGTTTTTAAACTGAGGTGCGCAGTTTATCCCAATCTTTGCATTTGTTGGTTGGAGCCATATGCAGAAATATTTTTTTTTGGGTTAGGGTTTTTTGGACATCAGTTTGGAGATCATTTTGCAGTAAAATATCAAAAATAGATGTATTGGAAATATAGCTATAAAAAGAATAAAAAATAAGAAACTATAAATTACAATTAAATTTTAGGTGGGGTCCTCCTCCTCCCCACCTACAAGTCCCTCCATAACCTGGCCCCCTCTTACCTCACAGACCTCCTCCATCATCACTGTCCCTCCCGCCGCCTCAGACCCAGACTCAGACTTCCTCACTCCCTCAGACCCAGACTCAGACCTCCTCACTCCCTCAGACCCAGACTCAGACCTCCTCACTCCCTCAGACCCAGACTCAGACCTCCTCACTCCCTCAGACCCAGACTCAGACCTCCTCACTCCCTCAGACCCAGACTCAGACCTCCTCACTCCCTCAGACCCAGACCTCACTCCCTCAGACCCAGACTCAGACCTCCTCACTCCCTCAGGCTCAGACCTCCTCACTCCCTCAGGCTCAGACCTCCTCACGCCCTCAGGCTCAGACCTCCTCACGCCCTCAGGCTCAGACCTCCTCACTCCCTCAGGCTCAGACCTCCTCACTCCCTCAGGCTCAGACCTCCTCACTCCCTCAGACCCAGACCTCCTCACTCCCTCAGGCTCAGACCTCCTCACTCCCTCAGGCTCAGACCTCCTCACTCCCTCAGGCTCAGACCTCCTCACTCCCTCAGGCTCAGACCTCCTCACTCCCTCAGGCTCAGACCTCCTCACTCCCTCAGACTCAGACCTCCTCACTCCCTCAGACTCAGACCTCCTCACTCCCTCAGACTCAGACCTCCTCACTCCCTCAGACTCAGACCTCCTCACTCCCTCAGACTCAGACCTCCTCACTCCCTCAGACTCAGACCTCCTCACTCCCTCAGACTCAGACCTCCTCACTCCCTCAGACTCAGACCTCCTCACTCCCTCAGACTCAGACCTCCTCACTCCCTCAGACTCAGACCTCCTCACTCCCTCAGACCCAGACCCAGACCTCCTCACTCCCTCAGACCCAGACTCAGACCTCCTCACTCCCTCAGACCCAGACCTCCTCACTCCCTCAGACCCAGACTCAGACCTCCTCACTCCCTCAGACTCAGACCTCCTCACTCCCTCAGACTCAGACCTCCTCACTCCCTCAGGCCCAGACTCAGACCTCCTCACTCCCTCAGACCCACAGACCCAGACCTCCTCACTCCCTCAGACCCACAGACCCAGACCTCCTCACTCCCTCAGACCCAGACTCAGACCTCCTCACTCCCTCAGACCCAGACTCAGACCTCCTCACTCCCTCAGACCCAGACTCAGACCTCCTCACTCCCTCAGACCCAGACTCAGACCTCCTCACTCCCTCAGACCCAGACTCAGACCTCCTCACTCCCTCAGACCCAGACTCAGACCTCCTCACTCCCTCAGACCCAGACTCAGACCTCCTCACTCCCTCAGGCCCAGACTCAGACCTCCTCACTCCCTCAGGCCCCAGACTCAGACCTCCTCACTCCCTCAGGCCCCAGACTCAGACCTCCTCACTCCCTCAGGCCCAGACTCAGACCTCCTCACTCCAATCAGGACTAAACACTGAACCCTGGGGGGGCCGAGCCTTTGCTGCAGCTGCCCCCACTCTCTGGAACTCACTCCCTCAACCAACCCTAACCCTCAGACTCACTACAGAACTTTAAATCTCTTCTCCAAACCCACCTGTTTCAGTCTTTCCTTAATTTTGTTTTTCAATGTATATTTCTGTGTTTTGTGAAGCGTCTTTGAGTGTCCAAAAAAGCACTATATAAGTTTGATGCATTATTATTATTATTAGAACGTATTCAATTATGTGGTTGTTTTCCTGGGATAATAGGCTTTAAAATTAAGTATAACATGCCACAGTTTCCCATGATAATTGAAAATCATATCAGGGGTCACTCAAAATGGTCTCGCGGTCTGGATTTGGCTCACGGGCCTCGGTTCCTTCTGGACCAATAAGATCCTATGTGTTTGTTGTCATTGCATCAGAAGTGTTTTGGATGAGGCCGCATGAACGTGTCCTGACCTGGGGTTGACTTCAGAAACCGGTACGTTGAGGCGAGCGGCGATGTCCTCCACGGTCTCGTTGCCTTCAGAGATGATGCCCACTCCTTTGGCAATGGCTTTGGCGGTGATGGGGTGGTCTCCGGTCACCATGATCACCTGCCACAACAGAAAAGGCTCTTGTCATTTCACTACATGCTTTTGACCATGACAAATGAATTATAATGTTATCCTTATGTGCGTTTGGGGGTTACAAGATTCTTCCTCATAACCTGCCAACAACCACATGACGCACCTTGATCCCGGCGCTCCTGCACTTGCCCACGGCGTCCGGCACGGCGGCACGGGGAGGGTCGATCATGGCCATGAGGCCCACGAAGCACAGGTTCTCTGTGGGGAAGTTCACCTCTTCTGTGTCGAAGGCAAAGCCATCGGGAAACTGGTCGTCGGAAAGGTTAAAGTGGCAGAAACCTGGACACAGAGCAATGGGATGGTCAGAACAGAGAGAGAGAGAGACCAGAGAGAGAGAGACCAGAGAGAGAGACCAGAGAGAGAGAGAGAGCAAGACCAGAGAGAGACCAGAGAGAGAGAGAGAGAGAGAGAGACCAGAGAGAGACACCAGAGAGAGACCAGAGAGACCAGAGAGAGAGAGAGACCAGAGAGAGAGACCAGAGAGAGACCAGAGAGACCAGAGAGAGAGAGAGAGAGAGAGACCAGAGAGAGACCAGAGAGAGACCAGAGAGAGACCAGAGAGAGAGGCTAAAGAGAGACAAAAGTTTCTTTAAAAAAAGGTAACTGTCATGTACTGTCAACTTGTGACAGAGCTGCTGGGAGTCCAATGGGAGGTGGACCAACACTAGACCCCCCACTGTCAGTAGCACAGAGACAGTCTCCATCTTTCTTCATAACAACCCAAAGAGAACCACAGCCTGCTCCTCACCCAGCACACGCTCCCCCAGGCCCCCCAGCTCCACGTAGGCGTTCTGAAAGGCGTCCTTCATCTCGTCGTCCAGAGGCTGCTCTTTTCCCTGCAACACGATGGTAGAACAACGGTCCAGGATCCTCTCTGGGGCCCCCTTCATGACCAGCAGGTGCTTGGACTCTCCGGGTGTGACGTTCTTGTGGATGGACAGCTGGAAAACACAAAAAAGAAAAGAAAAGAAGAATGCATTTTCCGGTTGGTCTGGCGTTGGAGAGGGAGTGAGACGTGCGGTTCCCGGCGTTACCTGGTACTTGTTGGTGGAGTTGAATGGGATCTCGGCCACTTTGGGATATTTGTCTCGGATGCCAGCGACAGAACCGCAGCAGAGTTCGATGCATTTGAGGAGAGCGGCTTCAGAGGCGTCACCGGCCACGTCTCTCTGGGGACAGAAGAGAACAGTAGTGATGCAAAGGAACCGGCCAACTCTGCAGAATCATAAACCTCACAGTGGTGTCATACTGTGGTTTTTCAGATTTTATAACTCGAGATGTCTTTGCAGAAAAAGGACAGAACAGCACTTCATACATGTGTGTTTTCTGTCTTTTTATTTACTTAATTAAAAGATCCCTTATTCATCCCACAGTGAGGGAATTTCAGAACACATGCTTCCCATAATTATTGCGTCTCAAAAAGTTGTACTGTTATGTGCCACAGACAGCAGCACATTTTCTTTCCTCTTTTAGACTGTATCACTGCTTTGGATATTTACAATGTCTCTTTTCTACACATAAACTTTATCTCACTATCGAACTTTCAGACCACAATAATAGAACTCTGAAACAAAATCCAGGTCACTAGTTCCTCAACTAGTTTTCATATGTTCTGTATGAAAACCTGTTTTATTGTGATCAGCTTGTTCTAATCTCTCCGGTCTCTCTCCGGTCTCTCTCCGGTCTCTCTCCGGTCTCTCTCCGGTCTCTCTCCGGTCTCTCTCCGGTCTCTCTCCGGTCTCTCTCCGGTATCTCTCCGGTATCTCTCCGGTATCTCTCCGGTATCTCTCCGGTATCTCTCCGGTATCTCTCTGGTCTCTCACATACATGTATATTTTGCCTCTGAAAACTGAAAAGAGAAGGTATTGACTCTGTTCTCTCATTCTTACAAATAAAACCTGTTTTCTAACAAGATGAACACAGCAGGTTGTGGCCTGATTTGTTCACCACATTTTATTTGAAGACTCTGTTGGAACAAACAGCGTATTCATGAAAAGGTACGCGCCAGGATTACGAGCCAAAATGTGAGCCAAAAACCAGCTCTGGAGTCTAATTACAATTTGGCCAACCGAGACCATTTTAAGACCTGCAACTGCGACATGATTGGACGGGGGATGGAGGAGCCGCTCACCTTCAGAATGGGAACGTTGCTCTGGTCAGCCAGGAACACGGCGCGGTTGCAGAGGCCGGCGATTCTGGACAGAGCGGCCCACGTGGCGGAGCTGCGGTCGAAGGAGGTCCCGCTCTGGTTCTCGGTGGTGTCGGCCTCGTGGATCTGGTTGTCGAACCACATGTGGGCCACGGTCATCCTGTTCTGGGTCAGGGTGCCGGTCTTGTCGGAGCAGATGGTGGAGGTGGAGCCCAGGGTTTCCACGGCCTCCAGGTTCTTCACCAGGCAGTTTTTCTTGGCCATGCGCTTGGCCGTCAGAGTCAGACACACCTGCCGAGCACAAAGGCAGACGTCAGTGGGAGGTCAGGGATTCAGGGTGTGGAGGGGAGAGACCAGAGAGGGATACCAGAGGGAGAGACCGGAGGGAGAGACCAGAGGGAGAGACCAGAGGGAGAGACCAGAGGGAGAGACCAGAGGGAGAGACCAGAGGGAGAGCAGAGACAGAGACCAGAGAGAGACCAAAGAGAGACTAGAGAGAGACTAGAGAGAGACTAGAGAGAGAGACTAGAGAGAGAGACTAGAGAGAGAGACCAGAGAGAGAGACCAAAGAGAGACTAGAGAAAGAGACCAGAGAGACGCCAGAGAAACTAGAAAGACTGGAGAGAGACCAGAGGGAGAGACAAAGGAGAGTGACCAGAGAGAGAGACCAGAGAGAGACCAGAGAGAGACTATCGAGAGAGACCAGAGAGACATCAGAGAAACTAGAAAGACTGGAGAGAGACCAGAGGGAGACCAGAGTGACACCAAAGAGAGACCAGAGAGACAGGAAAGACTGGCGAGAGGTCAGGGGGAGAGACCAGAGTGAGACCAGACTTGGGGCTGAATCCAGGAAGTGTGAGTGGTAGTCTGACTCACAGTGACAGTAGCCAGCAGACCCTCGGGCACGTTGGCCACGATGATACCGATGAGGAAGATGACCGCCTCCAGCCAGCCGTATCCCAGGATGAGGGACAGCACGAAGAAGGACACTCCCAGGAAGACGGCCACACCGGTGATGATGTGGATGAAGTGCTCGATCTCCCGGGCGATGGGTGTCTTCCCTCCGTCCAGACTCGAGGCCAGTGTGGCGATGCGGCCCATGACGGTGCGGTCTCCGGTGTTGATGACCACTCCTCGGGCGGTACCTGCGGATCCACACGGTCCCAGAGGTGAGCGATCGGCACCTTGTCTGATCAGATATTTATGAAGTGAGTAGAGAAAAGCTCGGTACCTTCCACACAGTTTGTGGAGAAGAATGCAATGTTCCTCGTCTCCAGTGGGTTTTCGTTGGAGAAGTCCGGAGTACGGCTCTGCGGCTCGGATTCACCGGTCAGGGAAGAGTTGTCCACCTGTGAAAGCATCAGTTATTAAAGCTGGGATACCTAACTTTCAAACCACAACACATTTAACTCTGTAATAAAACCCATGTCTCTAGTTCCTGGCTCCATATCAGTCCATCACTAGTTTTCACATGCATGTAATTTTGACCTCTTTCAAATTTGTTCTAGTCTCTCTCTGGTCTCTCTCCCTGGCCTCTCTCCCTGGCCTCTCTCCCTGGCCTCTCTCCCTGGCCTCTCTCCCTGGCCTCTCTCCCTGGCCCTCTCTCTCCCTGGCCTCTCTCCCTGGCCTCTCTCCCTGGCCTCTCTCCCTGGCCTGGCCTCTCTCCCTGGCCTCTCTCCCTGGCCTCTCTCCCTGGCCTCTCTCCCTGGCCTCTCTCCCTGGCCTCTCTCCCTGGCCTCTCTCCCTGGCCTCTCTCCCTGGCCTCTCTCCCTGGCCTCTCTCCCTGGCCTCTCTCTCTGGCCTCTCTCTCTGGCCTCTCTCTCTGGCCTCTCTCTCTGGCCTCTCTCTCTGGCCTCTCTCTCTCTGGCCTCTCTCTCTGGCCTCTCTCTCTGGCCACACAAAAGATAACATGCGTTCTAATAAATTAATGATTGAAGACAGTACGTTGTGGTTAGGGCTGGGCGATTAATCGATTTTAATCATTAATTCGAGTTTTACGTTTAGGGCGATTTCTTTTTTTAAAAATTCGATTTTTATTTTCTCCAGCGCAGAACTACAGCGCTAACGCGCTAACCGCGGGTCTATGGTATTGAGCAGTCATTTTGAAGCTAACCTAATGCTAACAGTCTCCCTCTGGCCTGATGCTCGCTCTCACAGTTGGTGCTGTTGCAATAACACTTCAAACGTTCAAGAATCAGACTTTATTTAATCGCCAAAACACACACACACACACACGCAGGCTCCGGTCGCTATGTTCATACGCCATGTTCGTACGCCACATCTTTCACGCTCTCTCACGCTCGTTATTCCAAAGCGCACTCCCGTGTCCGTGGCGCGCACACACTCGTGTCCCACTGAGCCGCTGCACTTTGGGGAAAGACACGTCTCACACATTGTTCTCATTGCTCTGATACAAACAACGTGTTCCCCGCTGTCTGTTAGCTACAGTAGCTGCTACAGTAGCTGTTAGCTACAGTAGCTGCTACAGTAGCTGTTAGCTACAGTAGCTGCTACAGTAGCTGTTAGCTACAGCATCAGAATGTAAACAGGAAGTCACTGAAGTTAGTATTAGCGCCACCAGCTGGACCGAGCGTTGTACTACAGCACAGTTACTCAGGCACAGTTGAAAGAACAAGCATGAAAACCCGAGGAAGCTTTTGGAAAAGACTGTCTGTTACAACATTTCTACTTTGAGTAATCAGTTTTAAAAATGTGATATTTCATGTAAATATTGCATGTGTTTAATAGGATTGATATATTTGCGATGGGCCTTGTTTGTGTGATTTAAGTTATTTTGAAGGTGCATAGTGTCATTGTAAGTGAAGTTATTATAAAACTGTTAAGCTACATTTTCACTGTTTACAATGACAGAGCCATCTCGTTTACAAGCATGTTTTAAGGCTTAATTCCTGTTACACTTATGCTCCATGGGGATTTAGATTAAACTGCATAAAGGAAAATCTATTTCTTTGTCAGTTGTAGTTTGTTTTTAAATAGAAAAAAAAAAATCGATTTAAAATCGAAAATCGGATTTGGTGTGAAAAAATCGGAGATTTTTTTTTTTTGCCATATCGCCCAGCCCTAGTTGTGGTCTCATTTTACTCTTTTAAAACCTTTTAAAAAGGTACTATTTATGAAACAGACCTTATATGAAACATTTCACCAGTGCTGATAAATTGGCATATCGTGTATATCACCATGATGGTATTGGGTATTAACCTTGCAGCCGCTAGCGGAGACGATTCTCAGATCAGCTGGGATCCGGTCTCCTCCCTTCACCTCCACCAGGTCTCCCACCACCACCTCCTCTGCGTTGATGTTCTTCTTCTCGCCGTCACGCACCACCAGAGCTTGCTGCCAGATCAAAGCAGAGGGGACGTGTCAGAAGCTGTTAGCGCTGCAGAGCTAGCGTGCTAATGCAGGCTTTATTCTGAGCAGCTGGAATCCCGCTGAGCAGACTGTGACAACAGAGCACTCAAATATGTGGCAGACTCTCATTTGCAGTTGAGGAAGCTACTGCTGCAGGACTTCACCAGGATTTAGACATGTGAAGAATGTACAAGAACTGCTTCTAACGTTTTAGTCTTTGGAACTATCTCCTGGCTTTCTCACACTCTCTGGTCTCACACTCTCTGGTCTCACACTCTCTGGTCTCACACTCTCTGGTCTCACACTCTCTGGTCTCACACTCTCTGGTCTCACACTCTCTGGTCTCACACTCTCTGGTCTCACACTCTCTGGTCTCACACTCTCTGGTCTCACACTCTCTGGTCCTCACACTCTCTGGTCTCACACTCTCTGGTCTCACACTCTCTGGTCTCACACTCTCTGGTCTCACACTCTCTGGTCTCACACTCTCTGGTCTCACACTCTCTGGTCTCACACTCTCTGGTCTCACACTCTCTGGTCTCACACTCTCTGGTCTCACACTCTCTGGTCTCACACTCTCTGGTCTCACACTCTCTGGTCTCACACTCTCTGGTCTCACACTCTCTGGTCTCACACTCTCTGGTCTCACACTCTCTGGTCTCACACTCTCTGGTCTCACACTCTCTGGTCTCACACTCTCTGGTCTCACACTCTCTGGTCTCACACTCTCTGGTCTCACACTCTCTGGTCTCACACTCTCTGGTCTCACACTCTCTGGTCTCACACTCTCTGGTCTCACACTCTCTGGTCCACTCTGGTCTCACACTCTCTGGTCTCACACTCTCTGGTCTCACACTCTCTGGTCTCACACTCTCTGGTCTCACACTCTCTGGTCTCACACTCTCTGGTCTCACACTCTCTGGTCTCACACTCTCTGGTCTCACACTCTCTGGTCTCACACTCTCTGGTCTCACACTCTCTGGTCTCACACTCTCTGGTCTCACACTCTCTGGTCTCACACTCTCTGGTCTCACACTCTCTGGTCTCACACTCTCTGGTCTCACACTCTCTGGTCTCACACTCTCTGGTCTCACACTCTCTGGTCTCACACTCTCTGGTCTCACACTCTCTGGTCTCACACTCTCTGGTCTCACACTCTCTGGTCTCACACTCTCTGGTCTCACACCTCTGGTCTCACACTCTCTGGTCTCACACTCTCTGGTCTCACACTCTCTGGTCTCACACTCTCTGGTCTCACACTCTCTGGTCTCACACTCTCTGGTCTCACACTCTCTGGTCTCACACTCTCTGGTCTCACACTCTCTGGTCTCACACTCTCTGGTCTCACACTCTCTGGTCTCACACTCACTCTCACACTCTCTGGTCTCACACTCTCTGGTCTCACACTCTCTGGTCTCACACTCTCTGGTCTCACACTCTCTGGTCTCACACTCTCTGGTCTCACACTCTCTGGTCTCACACTCTCTGGTCTCACACTCTCTGGTCTCACACTCTCTGGTCTCACACTCTCTGGTCTCACACTCTCTGGTCTCACACTCTCTGGTCTCACACTCTCTGGTCTCACACTCTCTGGTCTCACACTCTCTGGTCTCACACTCTCTGGTCTCACACTCTCTGGTCTCACACTCTCTGGTCACACACTCTCTGGTCACACACTCTCTGGTCACACACTCTCTGGTCACACACTCTCTGGTCACACACTCTCTGGTCACACACTCTCTGGTCACACACTTTCTGGTCTCTCTCTGGTCTCTCCCTGATGGTGAATGAAATGCATTGTGTGTACTGTCCCAGTGTGTGTCTCTGGTCCTGCTCTGTACCTGTGGCACCAGGTTCTTGAAGGAGTCCATGATCTTGGAGCTCTTGGCCTCTTGGTAGTAGGAGAAGCAGCCGGTGATGATGACCACAGCGGACAGCACCACACCCAGGTACAACTGCGGGACGCACACATTCACAGAGCTCACATGGACGCACACATTCACAGAGCTCACATGGACGCACACATTCACAGAGCTCACATGGACGCACACATTCATCAAACGTATTGGTGAAGATAAAAAGGCAAAGGAAAGATTCTTACGTTGTCGTTGGCCGGCTCGTCTTCGGACACAGCCTGGATGCCGTAAGCGAGGAAGCACAGGAGGGCCCCGATCCACAGCAGCATCGAGAAGCCCCCGAAGAGCTACACAACACGGCCACAGTTATCATTCATCATTTATTATATTCATTTATGTTTTACAGACTCACACATGGACAAGCTGTGTCTGCTGATGTCACACAGACAGACACACATGCAGAGGCAGACACACAAACACACAGACACAAAGACACACACAGACAGACACACATGCAGAGGCAGACACACAGACACAAAGACACACACAGACAGACACACATGTAGAGGCAGACACACACACACACAGACACAAAGACACACACAGACAGACACAAAGACACACACAGACAGACGCACATGCAGAGGCAAACACACACAAAGACACACACAGACAGACACACATGCAGAGGCAGACACACACACACACAGACACAAAGACACACACAGACAGACACACATGCAGAGGCAGACACACACACACAGACACACAAAGACACAGAGATAGACACACACAGATACAGAAATACACAGAGACACAGACAGACACGCGCAAACACACACACACACGCACAAACACACACACACAAAGACACACACAGTCGGTCCTGGGTTGCTCGACTTTCAACTAAGTACATTTTTTATTATGAATGTATAAATAATTTCCTGCATTTTTCAATAGGACAAAACAACACATTTGTCTTGTTTATATAATTCTATAGTTTATATAAATCTCTGATCTCAGAATCACCCTCTGAAGATTTCCTCCAAACCTGAGTTGTCTGGATCATAAAAACCAGCCCTCCCGTCCTTTACCTGTCGACAGAACTTGACCCACTCGGGGGTGGTGGGGGGCGGGGTGAGCGCGTTGAGGCCGTCCCTGGCCAGGATCTCCTTGACTCGGGTGGAGGACAGACCCTGCGCAGACAGAGCCAAAGAAAACAGTGGGTGTGAAAAGCCGCGCCTGCTGCACTGGTAACGCACTGAAGCCTTTGAAGGGAAAGCTATGCAAACAGCCCCCGCCGGCGAGCACCTCGGGCGGCCCGCGGAGGCTCCAGGGAAACCCATAAAAAACAAGTGGAGCTGGTCTGCGCTCTCTCCACTCTGCAGATCTGAGAGAGAGTCCAGGGAGAAGAGAACCATGTCGTTTACACAGACTTATTACAGGCTGTTTTTACACTTTTATTTACTATGGTTTTTGCTCAGGCAAGTTTAGGTTTTTGGCATGATAGAGAAAGGAGGAGAAAGTAGTAACAGGAAGGTCTAAAACAGACCTCAGAGAAGGAGACCAGAGAGAGATCAGAGAGAGAGAGAGACCAGAGAGAGAGACCAAAGAGACGAGAAAGAGATCAGAGATATACCAGACAGAGACCAAAGAGAGAGAGAATTGAGAGAACCCTAGGAGAGAAACGAGAGAGAGACCAGAGAGAGAGAATAGAGAGAAACTAGAGAAAGAGAGACCAGAGAGAGATCAAAGTGAGAAACCAGAGAGAGAGACCTAAGTGAGAAACCAGAGAGAGAGACCAGCGAGAGAGAGAATTGAGAGAAACCTGGGAGAGAAACGAGAGATACCAGAGAGAGAGAGCGAAGAGAGAAACCAGAGAGAGACCAGAGAGAGAGACCAAAGTGAGAAACCAGAGAGAGAGACCAGAGAGAGAGACCAACGAGAGAGAGAATAGAGAAAAACCTGGGAGAGAAACTCGAGAGAGATACCAGAGAGAGAGACCAAAATGAAAAACCAGAGAGAGAGACCAAAGTGAGAGACCAGCGAGAGAGACCAGAGAGAGAGACCAGCGAGAGAGACCAGCGAGAGAGACCAGAGCGAGTCTCTTGAGCGTGTGCATGCTGTTGCTGGAGTGCTGTTGCCATAAACTTAAACAGCACTGAGATGATGACAGGACTAAATATTTTTTACTGAAACTTATGATGACTTTTACCAGAGTGGACTTGCTCTCTGTATTGTGTGTGGACGGCTTTCGATCCTACGGTACTTTAGCCACTGCAGGTCACACGCACAAATGAAACTTAGTCGGCCCGGGTTTCAGACGTGGGCCAGGACCATGTGGTGCTTTTGCAGGGTCAGGCCCGTGACTCCGCAGCCGGCGGTAGACAGAACCTCTCCTTCTTGTTTGTCGCGTCAATAGGAGCAGTGTTTTGTATGAATAGGCTCTTTGTTTTGGCCTAAACGGGCAGGATCAAACTGCTGAGGGAAAGTGAAGGTAAGGCTGTATTTGGGCGGAGTGGAAAGTAAAGTACAGGCAGTAATTTGGTCGAAATGGTGACGCCAATCTTCTGCCAGTCTTTCTAGTGTCTAAGAAACGTGGGGAATGTCAAAAACAGGTGATATTCATAAAAAATGCAGGTATGACCTTTAGAGCGTGCACTTCTCCTTCCTGCATTTTGATGTTTGGTTTTAAATGTAAAACCAGGGATAGGCCATTTTACCCTCCAGGGGATACTGTTCTCAGTCAGTCCATAACTGTAAAATCCCACACGTTTCTTCAAAATAGTAAAACCTGTTTGTGATTTTAGCTGCGCGTCGACCTAAACCTGGATTTGAATCTCAGCAAAGATCTTTAGAATGTTTAAAAGAGTTTAAAAGGTTTGAATATTGCTTAAAATAGAATAACTGCTCTGTGGTCCGAGCTATTGCTTTGTATATGAGACATGTGAGAGACGAGAGAGAGAGCGAATAGAGAGAGATCAGAGAGAGACATGACAGACCAGAGAGAGATCAGAGAGAGACATGAGAGACCAGAGAGAGACCAGAGAGACCAGAGAGAGAGCGAATAGAGAGACACCAGAGAGAGAGACAGAGGGACCAGAGTGAGACCAGAGCGAGACCAGAGAGAGACCAGAGAGATACCAGAGAGAGACCAGAGAGAGACCAGAAAGAGACCGGAGATAGACATGAGAGAGACCAGTGAGAGAGAGACCAGAAAGAGACCAGAGAGAGACCAGAGAGAGACCAGAGAGATACCAGAGAGAGACCAGAGAGAGACCAGAGAGAGACCAGAGAGAGACCAGAGAGAGACCAGAGAGAGACCAGAGAGAGACCAGAGAGAGACATGAGAGAGACATGAGAGAGACCAGAGAGAGACATGAGACATGAGAGAGACGGAGAGAGACCAGAGAGACCAGTGAGAGAGAGACAGAGGGACCAGAGTGAGAGACCAGAGAGAGACATGAGAGAGACATGAGAGAGACCAGTGAGAGATAGACCAGAGATAGACCAGAGATAGAATCTTCTGAGCTACACACAAGCCAGAATAGTTTTCTAGTATCATGTTGTACCAGTGCTTATATGATCTTTATTTGAAGGTTAGATGTCTCAGTCATGTTTCTGAAACAGAGAGACCCGTGTCGTAGTGAGGGATGGCACCTTCTGTAGGTCCAAATGTGTGGCCCGTGTTTGTTCAGTGTAAACATGTATCCCATTCTCAGATTACTCACCCGGGTCAGATCGGTGCCGTACTTTCGGGTCAGTTCATCCATAGTTAGCTTGTGGTCATCCTGAAAAAAAAAAAAGAGAAAAGCATCATGAGTCAATGGTTCCAGCTGTTATTTTTAACCCACGACAGGCTTTTAAATGTCAAAGTATACGACGTTGCTGCAGTGTGGAGGACAAATGCCAATGTTACACCAGGAACAGTTGATCCCCATCAGGCCTTAAAGAACTGTTATTGCTTCATATCTGAGTGAGCTGCAAGAGTTATAGGACAATGTTTGTTCACGTTGCACAAATGCACCTAAACCTGGACACCTGAATTTCTCCTACGGGGGATTAATAAAGTATATCTATCTGTATAAAGGGAATATATGATGTATTTACAGTATTATAATGACATGGACAAATAGGTAAATTAATGAATAAATACCACTGAAACAAAAAACAAAATGTAGTTATGACTTGAAGCATATATAGCTTAAATCACAGGTGTCAAAGTCAAGGCCCGGGGGCCAGATCCGGCCCACGAGACCATTTCCAGTGGCCCCTGAGATGATTTTAAATAATTATATTAAATAGCAGCATGGATGGTATTAGGCGACAATGGCATGTTATCCATTACTAATTTTCTCAAAACAACCATAAAATTGAATTCCATAAGAAATGTTAGGCCAACACGTAATTAGTTAGTATTGTTACTTTATGTTATTCACGAGTCTTCAATTACATTTCTTCTTAAAATTATGAACCGCTTTTTGAACAAAACTCTTTGGTCTTATTTGACGAGCACGTATCACTAGAATGATTGACAGTTGGGAGGACCAATAGTCTTGAGGATCCACCTGCAAGTAGAAAATCCTCCTATGTACCTTCAATATTTGGTCCAGTTTTGGTCCAGTTTTGGTCCAGTCCACAGGAGCTGAACTAATTCTAATCAGAAAAGAATATTCAATCTAACTAAAGTGAAACAAGTCATTTATATAGATACCTTCATGTTATAAAAAAGGATAATAAATTAAACCCACTGATTCTTTCGGCCCCTGTCCAGCCCTTTGTTTGACACCCCTGGCTTAAATAAACTATGTGTAAGCTGGGGTGCCCAAACTTTTTAGAACATCAGATTTGTCCAAGGGCCGACAACAACATGGCAAGCATTTGAATGACTGTAAATGCACAAGACCAAACGAGGAAAGGACTAAATAAACTCCATTCATCAAGTGGGAGGTTCATTTTTTGTGTGTGTAAAGTGGCGAGTCGGACCGGCGCCCCCTGCAGCGTGGGCAGAGAGCACACAGAGCGTCCCCATCCGTCTCCACCTCCGACTGACACATGTGGTCACGCCGCACCGACCTTGGCTAGCATATTAACATATTAGCCGATAGCCTGTTAGCGTAGCGTGTCAGATCCAAGTAGAAAAGTGCGATCATTTCTGCACTTACAGAAAAACTGTAAAGAATAGCATTGATTAAAATGTAGTTTATTTTGAGATTGATGCATTTATATTTTTTAAAATCTATTATTTTCATAGTGTAATGTCAGTTTGGTTTAAATTGTGGTATTTTGAATTGTACATGGGACGGAAAAGACAACTTCTATAGTGAGAGCACATCACCCCTGTGCAGACTTCACTCTTACGTTTCAGCGCAGATTTGAAGACTCTGATGCTTGTTTTGAAATGTTTAATCTGGTCTTTCTCCCTCTGGTCTCTCTCCCTCTCTCTCTCTCTGGTCTCTCTCACTGAGGTCAGTAAAAGCCAGCTTTAGTTGAACGTGCCCAGGTCAAGTCTCCCAGAACATGAAAGAATATTCTGCTTCTTGCTTATTGAATGAATGAGATGTACCTGTGTGTAGAATATTTATGCATATTTTAATAGTCCTAGAACAAAATCATTAAGCATAAAACCCTTTCCTAAAACCTTCTGCTGTTCTGTCCGTGGGTCACTTGCCGCGGAGGAAAAGCCCCCTTCGAGGTCACGTCTAGACCCTCCGCTCTCCCAAACGGACCGGTTCTATTCCTGGTCCTGTCACAATACGTCCAATCAACAGTTGCTCTGCGTCGCCGTGGCAACAGCGTATACATTGTCTACAAGTGGACTTTGGGATCGCACGACACAATAATCATTAACATCTTTTTATAGTTTCCGCCGGTCGGTTTTGGAGGATGTGGTAAAGACTTTGGAGTTAAACGGTTAACAAGCTATATTCTAATAAACGGTTATATTTACTTTTCGACTTTGACTTTTTGACTGCCATATTTGTCTGAGACCCTCTGTTTGACTGCAGATTACAGGACAATAAAAATATCTACAAACAAACTTATTTTTCCTGATCAAAGCCGACAATCCAGTCTTTCAGAATCTGGCTCCATATTTCACATCGTCTAAGGAAATAATATTCTGTGGGTCTTGAGAATCGGGGAAATCATCAAAAACGGCTTAAGGTGATGCTGAGCTGAGTTTGAGTCTAAATAAATGAGACGTAGAAGTCCGGGAATTTACAGAGATAAACTTAGGGAGAGATGATCCACAGATAGTGATTGAACCTGGATCTGAATATAGGACGGGTATAAATGTATAAAAATATATGAAAATAATATAACTTATTATAAAAAAGTGCTTTTTATGTATTATTATTAGTATTATCATTTTACTTTCTATCCAATCATTATTATTTTAAAACTTGACTGACTTTACGGTGTGCATATGCCTGATGTATTCACTAGTTTGCTCATAACAATCTATAAAAATACACATACATGACACTGAATTAGCATTAACAGATATTATTTAAAATACAGATTACAGTCCTATATATAATCAAAATGAAATAAATAGAATGTGTTTTACGTGTTTTCAGAGTAAAACTAAACCAAAGTGGGGAAATGCATCTAATTTCTCTCTAAGACTTGTTTTGGATCTCAGGTTATAACTTTAAAAGTAATATCCAACCAACACGCTGCCTCCCGCCCATATAAGGTCATAGAGGACAAATCCACGGATGTGCTGGGGCAAGAGAAGCACATCAAAAGCACATTCATGAATTTGTAGAAAAGCAGGTTTAGTCCTGGAATCCAAGCAGCAGTAAACTCCTCTTTCACATGAATGTTTTTACTATACAAGTCAGAATCCTTGAGTTTCCCCCGTGCCCATATAAGGTCGTAGAGGACAGACAATGGAGGCTGCTGCCCTTGATGTTTGAGAAGTGCCGGTGAAGTGGCCGCATCTAATCATTAATGGCACCGCGAGCAGACGGCAGGACTTTGAGCCTGGTTACGACGTTTGCTGGATAATATTCACCAATATGTCGCCTTCATGTGTCTTTTATTACCTGTTGACCCGACTGCGGCGACCTCGGATTGACTTTGAAGCTAATGCTAAAGCTACGGCTCGGACAAAAGGCTGGACAAGCTTCAGACTGGGACTGGTTTGTTTCATGCAACTTATTTACGCTTTAACATTTCATTCTCTAAACTGGTGTTATGTTAAGCTAAACAATAGATCTGTACGCGCGCAATGATAGATTTTTGTCGATTTTATTATATATTTGGGTTAGACCGAGTGTGGCATCACCAAAGTGTTAATGCGAAAGAGGCAAACCTACACAGACACAGGGAGAACATGCAAACCCCCAGGACCTTCTTGCACAGTGGTTCAAATCCTGGTTTCGAACTGCAGTCAGAACACAGCCTTTCTGAGTGTTTGCATGTTCTCCCTGTGTCTGCGTAGGTTTCCTCCAAGTGCTCCGGTTTTCTCCTACCACTAAAAACATGTACAATGCGTGAAATCCTCCGACTCTGGTTCTGGGTTCCTGCTCCTGACAGAGGCCCTTGTGGTTCAGCAAGACGGGTCAAATGCAGAGAACACATTACCGTATGGATATATATCAAGTATTTCTTAAACTTAACAAAATAATGAAGCAGTAATTACAATATAATGGAGTTTTTTATGTCAAGGTGAATGAACAAGTGCAGCTGAAACCAGTCAGAAGTGTTTTTAATGTAATCTAGTATCTACTCTTACGCATTAATACAGTGTTAATGCAGAATGTGACATCACTGATATTCATCTTTGACTCTGTGTGTGTACGACCTTGGAAAATGACCTCACACCGAGGAGAAATGGCTGACGACCGCGGAAAAAACCTCACTTCACGAGATCTAACTTCCCTTTTGTGGATATTTCACGGCGTTTGAATGAAGCCAGGCCTCGTGCACGGACTACACTAAAGAACCAGGACTTTGAACTTAACTTTATTAACACATGATAACACTTTGTTTCTAGGTCTATTTTCTTATTTCTAACTTAACTAACTCGCCAGAAAGCTTCTCAAACCCCCTCAATCAGTATAGGAGTAACGTATTAATATAAAATAAATATATACGTGTAATAGGAGGCTTCTACGCACTGATAATAGTATTTGCTGTTGTGTTGTATTTAAAAAACCAAAAGATTTCTGGTCTGAGCTCGGCTGTCATTAACTATGAGGCAATGTGTAGGGTGGCTTTACACAGCTCGATGTGGGGCCGCTTATCTGGCAACCCCCACGCCTGGAGCAACTGTTGAACACATGACCCGGCTTAGCCCAGCCTCTGCAAACACTTTTTAAACCGCGTTTTTAAGCTAATGTTGTGGGTTTGAGAAGTTAGTCTTGACTTCCCAACACTGGAGATAAGCCGTGTTTATGCTAGCTTGATTTGATTAAGACTTTGACTGTAGTGAAATAAGTTTTAGGCCAAGTCAGAAACTGCTTTAGAAAGACACTTGCTCCATTGGTGAGTCATATTTTCAGTATTATTCCATTTTTAAATCAACTAATTTTCAAAACAAGGCTCGAGAATTAACATTACATGGATTAAGTTATTACAGGACAGGTCAAAATCTATCAAAATCTATATTATATCAATTAAAACTAGGGAAAGCTGTTGTTCATGAGGGTGTTATGTTGCCAAAGTATGTTCTGAGTCGACTTTTTCAGCAACAGAAAGTGAATTTGCAAACAGAAAGTCAAGAAATGCAGAAGGGAGGAGGAGAAAAAGCTAGCATGTGAGCACTAAGCTAGCCTCCTGCCTTGATTTGACCCCTCCAAGCTCCAATCCAGCTGTTTTTGCACAGAATCCACTCACCAAATCCACTTCTTTCTTGAGCTCTTCCATGTCCTTCTTCGCTTTGGCCTTTTTGCCCTTCCTGCTCTTGTCGTTGTCGGACGTAGCCGCCAGTTGGTAGTCATCTTTCCCTCTCTGTGCAGATGAAAAAAAGCAGACAGAATTAGCCATTAAGCGCATGCTACATCTTGACTCCCTCCAGCACATGTGGAGGAGAAAGGGCACACAGAGTAACTTCCTCCTACGGCTCTAAGGCTAAACTTTACAGCACTGTGAGAGCACTCCTGCCTGGGTCTGATTTAGCAAAGCAAACTTCAAAACAATGTGTGGCTAACAATAACTTCCAAACAAGTGGTCTAAAGTTACTGAGCTGATCTCCCAACAAAACATAGGACCACTAAACACAGACGTGAAGCTACCAAAGCAATACTTACTCCCAGCCCCATGTCTGCAGCGGAGGTCTGCGAACAGTCAATCCGATTGTGTTTGAAAATGAAACTTTTTTACTTCCTATACTCCTCCTCCTCTTCCTCTCTCTCTCTCTCTCTCTCTCTGTGTGTTTCGGCCCTCCCCTCTCTGGAGAATGGTAGAGTGCCTCAGATTACCATACCTTTATAGCTGACCCCCCCCCTACCTGCGTTTAAGGGAGGGGCCAAAAGCCACCGCGGGTAAGAAAGGGTAAGGAAGGGGAGAGCAAGGTCAGACTGATACAGGTGAGACTGAGGTTATTTAGACTGATTCATGCGGTGGAATGTTCCAAAGTTCAAAAGCTTTAACAGACAAGATTCAATTTAGGGTTTTGCAAAAAAATTTTGAAAATGTTGTATACATTTGGGCTTATTTTGGAATTTGTAATTGCACTTCCTGGTTGAAAAGAAAAATGTGAGAGGGATGTGATGTAGCTATAGAGTTATAAACTGGGCCAAAACTGTTTACGAACTAAATACAGTTAGAATTCTCTAAGTTGCGCTATAGAGCCTCGGTCCTGGGTCTACAGCCTCGGTCCTGGGTCTACAGCCTCGGTCCTGGGTCTACAGCCTCGGTCCTGGGTCTACAGCCTCGGTCCTGGGTCTACAGTCCTGGGTCTACAGCCTCGGTCCTGGGTCCTGGGTCTACAGCCTCAGTCCTGGATCTACAGCCTCAGTCCTGGGTCTACAGCCTCAGTCCTGGATCTACAGCCTCAGTCCTGGGTCTACAGCCTCAGTCCTGGATCTACAGCCTCAGTCCTGGGTCTACAGCCTCAGTCCTGGGTCTACAGCCTCAGTCCTGGGTCTACAGCCTCAGTCCTGGGTCTACAGCCTCAGTCCTGGGTCTACAGCCTCAGTCCTGGGTCTACAGCCTCAGTCCTGGATCTACAGCCTCAGTCCTGGGTCTACAGCCTCAGTCCTGGATCTACAGCCTCAGTCCTGGATCTACAGCCTCAGTCCTGGGTCTACAGTCCTGGGTCTACAGCCTCGGTCCTGGGTCCTGGGTCTACAGCCTCAGTCCTGGATCTACAGTCTCAGTCCTGGATCTACAGTCTCAGTCCTGGGTCTACAGCCTCAGTCCTGGGTCTACAGCCTCAGTCCTGGGTCTACAGCCTCAGTCCTGGGTCTACAGCCTCAGTCCTGGATCTACAGCCTCAGTCCTGGGTCTACAGCCTCAGTCCTGGGTCTACAGCCTCAGTCCTGGGTCTACAGCCTCAGTCCTGGGTCTACAGCCTCAGTCCTGGATCTACAGCCTCAGTCCTGGGTCTACAGCCTCAGTCCTGGATCTACAGCCTCAGTCCTGGGTCTACAGTCCTGGGTCTACAGCCTCAGTCCTGGGTCTACAGTCCTGGGTCTACAGCCTCGGTCCTGGGTCCTGGGTCTACAGCCTCAGTCCTGGGGCTACAGTCTCAGTCCTGGGTCTACAGCCTCAGTCCTGGGTCTACAGCCTCAGTCCTGGGTCTACAGCCTCAGTCCTGGGTCTACAGCCTCAGTCCTGGGTCTACAGCCTCAGTCCTGGGTCTACAGCCTCAGTCCTGGGTCTACAGCCTCAGTCCTGGATCTACAGCCTCAGTCCTGGATCTACAGCCTCAGTGCTGGGTCTACAGCCTCAGTCCTGGGTCTACAGCCTCAGTCCTGGGTCTACAGCCTCAGTCCTGGGTCTACAGCCTCAGTCCTGGATCTACAGCCTCAGTCCTGGGTCTACAGCCTCAGTCCTGGATCTACAGCCTCAGTCCTGGATCTACAGCCTCAGTCCTGGGTCTGGGTTTATGATAAACCTGTAAATCTCTGTGCCTTTCCACCATAAAAGTGAACAATTAGAAATATTTTTCAAAACTACAAAGCAACAATGCATAACTTTCTGCATGAGTCGAGATTTGCAACTTCAGTAAACCCTGACTCTGTGTTTCCACTGAAATGCAAAACACGTCAATTATAAATTGTGAGCCTTAACCCTCGATGGTGAAAAACCTCCATATTTCACACACGTTTTAAAACTAGCATGTTTTATATGAGCCTGGAGTGGGGCCTAACTGTTATTCTACTACAGTGTGAAAGGGGGGTAAGGGTGGGTAGTGGAAGGGGAGGGGGTAAGGGTGGAAGGGGGGGGGGGGTAAGGGTGGGTAATGGAAGGGGAGGGGGGAGGACCTGCCCGGAGGAGGAGGGGCGGCTCGTGCTTCACTTCCTGCCTTTGTACTTTTTTCAATGAAAGTTTTTAGAATGTGACCTTCAGGCTGGAATGCTGGGAGTACAAATGCTCAGTGAAATGCTGAGTGTATAAAAACAGAAAAAGACTGTCATCTTCTTCACTATAAGACGTACTGAGGCCGTTTGACTTGTTCTGTCGCCTTTTTAGCCTTTTTACTTCATACAGCTAAGGTTATTATGATATACTAATGTTATGTTACACAAAGGTTATGATATACCTCATTGTCCCAGTCCAGTGTCCTCTGCATTTGCTCTATTCTGAAAACCACAAGTCCCTCTGTCAGAAGCGGTGGTTCACATTTTCCCTATTGTACATGTTTTTAATGGTAGGGGAAACCGGAGCACCTGGAGGAAACCTACACAAGCCTCAGTCCTGGATCTATAACCTGGCCCTTCCCCATGGTTTCTCTGTTTTTTGTGATGCCTTTGATTCTCTGAACTATCGATGGCAAATAATTCATTGTTTATGTACGAGAACAGGACTTGATACTCTTTAATGTTATTCTTTGGTTTGAGATGTGAGATGGAGAGTAAAATTGTCCGTCATGGAGGCCAGATACTTTTATTTTCAGTTTTCCAGGTGTCAAAACTACTATGATACTTAATACTTCAGTCTAAGTTCAAGCAGAGAGGAAAAGTTTATTTAAAGAATGTCCCTTGAGACGAACATCTCAATTTCGAGGGAGTCCAAAACATAAAAACAAACATACACACATTTACAGAGCATTGAAGATAATTAGGAAAATTCACATCCCACTCCTCTGCTCAAGTTAAACATTTAGTAGGAGATTAAGTAAAAAAACAAAAAAGAGGAAGAGCCCGGCGTCCTTCAGAGCCCACGGTCCCTGTGAGTACTCAGTTGACAGTAAACAATAGGTGAGAGTACTATAGTGGAGACGCTGATAAGGCCCAGAGCCCAGAGGTCAAAGTCCACGGTAGGACCACAGGGAAGGGTCAAATCATGAGGAACTAACCCCTGCTGGCACGGACTGTAGCAAGTGTAGCAAGGTATGGTCTAAACCCCAGCAGGTGGATTGCATCAGTGCTTGGGAGTGTGTGTGTTTGACAGTATGGGCTGAGAGCGGATTGGCTGAATGAAACCAGTCCTCTCTTAGCTACATTTCTATATGAGAAATCCATCCATCCATTTTCTTCCCCTTAATCCATTACTGGGTCGGGGGGGGGGGGGGGGGGGGGGGGGTGGCAGTCAGAGCCGCACCCAGTACACTCACTGATCCTCCTGCACGTGCTGAGTCCAAAGGAGCTGAGATTTTTCTGTGGGGGCTTCAGGCAAAGTGGAGTTTAGTGTCTTGCCCAAGAACACAACAACTGCAGACATCAGTGGGAGTCGTGAAGTAGGTCTTACAGTTCCGGCCAAACTTCCCCATGAGCACTTCCCTATTGGGTTTTTCATTGCTCTAGTGGGTTTGCATTGACCATCTGTGCACAGGCTGTGATTGGGACTTTTGTTAGAATCCCAAAACGTATCATTGAATAAATGTAGATGTCAACTAAATGCAGCGGTCGTCTTTTTGTCGAGAATTATCCCGAGTAAATAAAGAGGTGTTTTGCAAGAGTGTGGCGTGCTGCAGTCAATCACTTTTGGCGTTGGGGAAATGGAACAAATGAGTGAAGCGAGCAGAGGCTGATAGAGACACACGTGTGAGAGGGACCACACTCACATTTGTGCGTCTGAACCACAGATGTGCACAACACAGACTGAATATTCACATCTAGTTCATGGACACACTGTTGTGATCCTGTGGGGGTTTGGGAGTTATGATGGGTATATGGTAATGCACATTGTTATCATGAGGTAAAGCATGATAACGCTGGGTTTGCAAACTTTCGATGAAAACACACACAAAAAACTAATAATAACCCATGTACATCGTATAACTGTAAGTATAACAAAAAGTTAGAGGAAAACTCAAGACTCTCCCTGGTTTTAGCCTGTCTCTCTCTGGTCTCTCTCTCTCTCTGGTCTCTCTCTCTCTGGTCTCTCTCTCTCTGGTCTCTCTCTCTGGTCTCTCTCTCTGGTCTCTCTCTCTCTGGTCTCTCTCTCTCTGGTCTCTCTCTCTCTGGTCTCTCTCTCTCTGGTCTCTCTCTCTCTGGTCTCTCTCTCTCTGGTCTCTCTCTCTCTGGTCTCTCTCTCTGGTCTCTCTCTCTGGTCTCTCTCTCTGGTCTCTCTCTCTGGTCTCTCTCTCTGGTCTCTCTCTCTGGTCTCTCTCTCTGTGGGGGTTTGTGAATTATTATGGGTATATGGTAATGCACATTGTTATCATGAGGTAAAGCAATTTGAAAATCATTCAAAGGTGTGAAAAATGTATAAAGTAAAACATAGAGCTGCTACTCCAAGGATTTCATTGTGTTTTTAGAACATGTGATAAACCAAGGACCATATGAACACAATCTAAAGAACAGATGATTATCAAATAGAAGAAATCAAATCTATACTTTTTAATACTCTCTGTGGTGAATACTGTATCAACACACTGGCTAGCACTCACCACACTCATGGTTCTGTGGGTGTAACCTGGCTCCCACGCAGCTCCACCACACTGTAATAACGGTAGAAAAGGCTTGTGTTTTCCCCCAAACACAGTCCCAGCTTTAGGTAAACATCAGGCAGTGGACTGCAAGACCTTCAAACGTCACTGCAGAAGAATGGAAGGACTGGTTAGTGGTGTTTACACTTAACACACAGAACATACAGAGACCTGTTGACAGAATATATGCCGCTATTGTCTGAGTGACTGTTGTATTAGGGA